CACCTCAAGTCAATCTAGTTTATTATCACTCTATATACCTATCTCCTGATCAAAGTGACCATTAGACATAGCTATTACCTCCGTGATATAATAGGATAAGTATTTGGTATAATAGAGGCTTTAGAAGAAGCCTTCATTATAACTGTATCCTCAAGTGTTGATAGATTATTAAGACAATTCATATTAAGGAATCTTATTCTTATTTTGATTAATTTGAGGTGAAAATTTTATGCGAATTTTTGTATATGTTTCGTATTTGGAATGCCAACAACAATATCACAACAATTACTAATCAGAATCACTTGGGGGCAATTGTAATCAATTTGGTTTAATAACTATGATCTAAATCGATCACGAAAGGGTTGTATTTCGAAGAAAAAGTTTCCTTCAAAATTTGTTGTGTGAGAGGTACGGAGTATAACTCCCTCAAATACGGAATATGAGAATCGTATGATACAATCAATATCTCTCTCATTAAAACTGGGTGCTAATCTGGCATCAACACTGTATCGACTATGCTATCATAAACCAAGCAAATATTAAATAAGCTATATCACCATGTGCTAGCCATGTCCCATGCATGCTATCGAAAATTCTAGAGTCCGAATTGAGCAATATTGAGAAAGCATCATTTTCCATCACCGCTCAATTTTTCTCCGTCAGAGTTCTTGTTTACGGAAATATACCAAGACTCGGGATTCCAGGACGCCCTGATGCACCTTGAAAGGACGATGGCCCTGGAGCTCTTCATAGCTCTTTTCATATGATCCAAGTCACTCCTTGATGTTTTCTGAAACTTTGATGTGGGAAAGAGCTCCTGAGAATAAGCCCACTCATAAAGATGACTAGCCCGAAAACTTCTCCATGATGCATCAGGATCGAGGCAATAGTATCACCCAATACTGGCGCCAGAAGACAACAATCTAAGCCGGTACAAAATTGCCTTGCTGCCTCTATGTACCACGCCTCACCCCATTCCAAACGGAATCAAGACTCCTTTTCCCAACACGAAGCCATGCGCTGAGAAGAATAAGCTGGCAGTAGAAGGGGTCGATTTACAGGGTGGTAAAGTCGCACATAATCATCATATCTCTCCTTAGCCGGGTTTCAGCTAGGCTTTCCTTGTTGCCATACAACTCTCGGGATAGAAACGTGAGAACTCCCCCTCTGACCCATGAAACATGGCAGGAAATTCGATACTCCGGTCCTACTCAAGTCTCTAAGAGTAGTGCGAGAACCATCTTTGGAGTTGGCGGCGGCCTATGGATGATTATATTTGTACCAGCGTGGCACCATGTCCTGGAAAAGGCGGCTCAGTGATGACGACATGTCAATCCCAGACAAACTGCTCGGCAGTAGGCATCTGATCCATTATGCTCATCACGATCATTAAGACAGAGACAGAGCATTTCGATCTGGTCAACTATTTCGGTCGGAAGTTTCTGCATCTTTATCTCTATCAAACTGTTAGCATACGAGTACGTGCAGAGAGAGCAGGAAGAAAGAGAGACTGCCACTCTGGAAATTCTTAGGATTATTTTTCTAGCGTTAGCAAACCGTGTCCTAAGGTGTGAAGATTTCATGATATCCATGCCTTGATAACGAAGAGAGTATTTTAGATGCTATGGGAGGGCATCATTTCATCCAAAGAGCAATTCTTTTCGGCTACTTCTTGATCCAGGGAGGATTCTTTGAGAATTGCTTCAATTGCAAGGGAAGTATTGAGAAAACGTCATAATTGGGGGAATCCAACATATTTTGTTGATCATCTATAATGAGCTTACTTTGAAAATTTGTAGTTTGATATCTTTATGTTGATTTGAAATGTTTGGAAGATAAAGGAGGACAGTAAATTTTGATTGAGATTACAGTGACTGATGGGCTGTTTAATTGTTTCGGCTAATTTGTTTGAGTAAAAAAATCTCTTATTTTCAATTGGACAACCTGGTTCAGGTTATTAATAAGCCTAAAGTTTTAGTGTCTTTGAAAAGACACAATGAACTTCACACGAAAGTATTACCTTTTTCTAACTAACCTGCTAACATCAAGTTTGCCTTTTTAACATTTTCTCGACCTATTTACTGTTCAATACAAGTTAAGTGTTGAATCACAGGTAGTTACATTAATCAAATACATTAGCAAGACCTGAGGTTTCACTTGTATCTTAGTGAGCTGCATGACTTGATCAGAGAAATGGTGTTTTGATGTGAGCGGATTGCATACGTGATTGCTAGCCCACAGGTGTACTGCATGTAGCTCTTGAATCTGTGAACCTAGAATAGACACACACACAGTACGAATCAATCAATTAGACCTATTGTGAAGACATTGTAGTCACCACCACAAAAATAACAACAGTCTTTTTTCTCCCCCATCCTAAGCCAGCCCTTGTCATGGAATCTTTTTCTCCACTATCTATAACCTTAGTAAATTAAGTTCCAAGAATGACTATATCTATGACGCGCATTGAAGCATTCTCTCACGTATTCCAAAGGTTACCTTTACGAGATTATCTTGACTCTTTCTTTTATCTTATGATATTGCTCAACTGCCATGGCCATTGAATTTTGCAGCCGGAACCTACCAATCTTTCCTTATGACATAAATCCCATCCTCCTGTCACCCCAAGCTAGTCGTTCAACAAGATTCTTATTCATCTGCCCTTTCTTATTCCTATTTCTGCAGTCCATCAGAGAATACCTCTACACCAAATGCGCCAGTGTTCTTGAACAAGGGCCTTTATCCGAGTTATGATGTCAAAGAAACTCGGTAGAACTAGTCCTGCCAAAGCAAAACCAAGATCTCCCAATCTCACTGATATGAACTTATGCATTACAAGAAAAACATACATTCTAACAGTAAACATCAAGAGCTCGATATCATTCTTACATATTAGCATAGAGCAGATATAAAACTACTCTAGACATCATGAACTTCTACTACAACACATATTCCCCCAACTTAAAAACTGAACAACTATCAAAAGTTTCTCCACATGATTCTGTCATGATATATATACTACACAAACAAACACTCAGATTGTCAATACAAACCCATCTCAGCAAAACAAAAATATCACTCTACTCCATGTCACATCACCAGACAAATCCTATCCATCCATCCAGCCAATCCCACAACCTCACACCTCCCCAAGCCCCCACATTCGCTTTAACAAGAAGTGACTTTCCAAGACCCTCTCCCCCTCTTTAGCAGCACTGAGCCCGAAGAACGCCAGATCTGGAACGCCAATGGCAGTTCGGCCGCGCGACCCCAGAAGCTCGGTGTGGGGGGCGCATAGAAGAAAGCAGCACGCACACCGCCGCGCCGCGCCGCGCCAGGCCACCACTATCACCTCTATATCTCGATTTCAAATTTCTTAACTCAACTCTCCATTTCAACTCTCCATTTCAACTCTCCATTTCAACTCTCCATTTCAACTCTCCATTTCAACTCTCCATTTCAACTCTCCATTTCAACTCTCCATTTCAACTCTCCATTTCAACTCTCTCTTCTATCATCTCCTCATTACTCATTCCAATACATAGCCATATCATCCATTCATCCACACACTTATTCACATACTCATCCACCTCTCTCCGTCCCGCCCTCCCTTTCCCCTAACCTCCCAAGTCCCACTCCTCAATCCCTCCCTCCACCAACCAATGTCCTCTCCTTATCTTTAATTCCCAATATTCCACTATTCACCCCCTAGCTCTCTATACATTTATATATCTACCACAACTCTTCATTTGCAATCTTCCCCCTCCTCCCTTCCATTAAATATCCCCCCTACTATACTTATCTCTCGCTCTTCCTCTCACTTCTATCAAGCACCACTACTCCTTCCCTCCTCACTCTCCTCCCCCTCTCATCCCCATCCCTTTTTCACATCCACTCACACCCACTCACACCAAAATTGCAAAACTCCAAACCCACACTCTCTCCCTCTCTTCTTCAGTCCCCTACCAATATCCCCACCAATATCCCCCGGACTTTCACCAACTTTCACCACATTTCCTTCCCACCTATTTTCACCCCTTTTCCCACTCTTCCTCTCCTCACTCCCTCTCCTCACTCCATCTCCTCACTCCCTCTCCTCACTCCCTCTCCTCACTCCCTCTCCTCACTCCCTCTCCTCACTCCCATCTTCTCACTCTTTCTCAACTCCTTTAATACCTGATAGCCTGCCTAGATAGCCGAAGGAGATACAAAGTTCATCTCTCCATAAACATACCTAGCTATAACCGAGTACTATCCGAGCACTATCCGAAGAGTGCCATCCAAGAGTGCCATCCGAAGAGTGCTATCCGAAGAAAAGCAAACCAGCACAACCCAAAACATTTATAGACGGACACCCATCCATTAATCAATCTTATCTTTACCTTTATGTTTATCAAAGAATCTCACCCATAACTCTTGATTATAGATCCCATGCATTTCAATTCCTTTCATTTCACACAATTCCAGCTCAGTTCATTTCTGTTCAATTCATTTCATTCAATACCACTCCACACCATATTCATTACAACTTCCCTACATAAATGAATTTTATCTAATCCATCCCCATCCCCAATTCCCATACCACGAAGTAAAGATTAAATAAACATGTCAACATAATTCTGTCTGATCATACCCTCCCTTTCATGCCTTTCATTCCAACCATTCTATCCATCCATCCATCAATCCACCATTCATAGTCCGAAGAACCTCCCAGTTCATCATCCAACAAACAATCAAAACTCCAAGTCCAACCCTTTCCTATTTGAACTCCAAAATATCTTCATTTATTGATGAAGAAAGGATATCCCATTGATTTATATCAACCCCAATTTCCAAACTCCCATCATAAATTCCATTTGATGTTTGCCAATAAATATCTTGAAAGAAGACCATCAACGATGAACATTGCAAAAAGGTATCTTTCCATCCGTCCATAAACAGCCAGTCGGCTAGTAACTTAAATCAAACCCAAAAACAACGAAACTTCTCTTGACTTCCCCTCAAGGTGTCGTCCCCTCCTCAATAAATCCCGTACCCTCACTCCCATTTTCCTGCCCCTCTACTTCCCCCTTGAAACTATAAAGTCTAACTTCACAATCCTCACTTCCTGTACACATCCTACTATCACTTAATCCAATACATGTAACTGGGCCTCTATGACCCGTAAATGTCCTATCGCATTTCCCCGTCCTCGCATCCCAAACTTTAGTCATCATATCTTGGGCTCCACTCACAACTCTCAATGTATCACCTGCAAGTGCCCATACACCTTCTACATGGCCAAAGAGTGTTTTAAGACAGCGACCTGTTGATACATCCCAAAGACGAAGATTATTGTCCAAAGCACCGGTTAGGATGTAGCGAGGAGGACGAGGACGACCTGCTGGCCAAGAATCGAAGAGAGAGGATCCTTGGGAGGAAGAACAACTTTCTCCTATTGGTCGGTTGAGTTCAGTTGATGATGCTGTACTTGATGTGCCATCATCTGCTTCTTCAACATCCACATCATCAAATTCATACTCGGGTGGTAGAATGGTGACTTGTTGAACTGGACCCACATGACCTTCAAAAGTCTTGATTGTACGTCGAGTGTCCAGATCCCAAAGTCGAATAGTACAATCATCAGAAGCAGAAAATAACGTTCTGGAAGCCGAATCAACTTTGACGGCATTAACCCAGTCCTTATGACCTCGTAAACTGAACGTAGATTTATCTTCAAAATTCCCAGACCTTAAACTGTTCGGTCAATAGAGCCTGAGGCAAGAAGATTTCCTTCAAAGTGAAGACCCACAACTCCATCAGTATGACCAGGATAAGAAGACATACATTCTCCAGTACGCCAATTCCAAACTCGAATACTTCTGTCAAGACTTCCACTGATCAACTTGGTATCATCAAATTGTAATGTTCGAATTCCAGATGTATGACCACGCAAAGTTCGTAAACACTCTCCCGTTTCAATATCCCAAATCTTGATGGTCGTATCATAAGATCCGGTAGCGAGGATATTGTCATCGAATTGTAAGCAAGTAACACCATTCGAATGACCTCGGAATATCTTTAACGAGCATCGACCATATTTCCAATTGGTTCCAACCTTGAATCGATCCTTGTATACGTCCTTCCATGGCCTAAATCTTGGTCTTCCAAGACATGATTCCTCTGGATTGGTACGTCGTCGCTTTGAACTTTCTTCTGAGGACTCCGACACAGTGGCACTTCTCTTCCCTGAAGCATTCAATGTCACAACACGTGTTTCCGTATTGCGCAAAGTATCTGACATGGCTGTGATTTGAGGTGATTGGCCATTGAGACCTAATCCTGTAGCTCTCAATTGCTGTTGTCTTTTCCAATCCCTCAATCGTTTTCGTTCCAACAACGGTAAGCCCCATCCACACTTTGTACATTTTCTATCAATATGTTGTTCACACATTTTGTGCCAAACCACATCATCATCCGCCATTATTCGCCATTGTCTACTGACTTGAGCAGCTTTGCATAGAGAAGTTGTATCGAGGTAACAGAGAATTTTGAAGGAGATTTCAGAAGGTAAAGCTGTAATGAAATCAATGCGAATGAGATTCTTGACAGCGGAGGAGAGGTAGGATAATTGTGGAAAGCAGCATTGTGATAGGATGCCTTGAAGCATGAGGTTTCGATGTTTCGATGGCGCAGCGGAGAAGAGTGTCCAAACATGAGAGATACCTTGTTGATCTGATTGCGACAAGGTCTCAAGCTCCTATGATCATGTTAGTAGATGTACGGAGACCGTAAGAGGGGTGAGATGTGAGGGGCGAGGGGTAGATTGTGTGACGCACTCTTTGTAGATTCTCCATTGTAGGTTCATCTGCAGTTCTTCGACATTTCGAATCCGGTCGATGTCGATAACAGTATTTGGTATTTGGATCCTTTCGTGAGATTGATGTAGTTTGTGGGGGGCCAAAAGGAGCGTATTGTTCTGGGATGTGTTTCGCCAGGAAAGGCGCAACGGTTTTGCCAGCCAATTTACTTGTCGACGAGATGGTGATTGTAGGATCTGAATGATCGTGATCGGCTCTGCAATTGTCTTCCATTGAAAGAGGTTCAATGGATTCAACTATGTCGGTATCAAGATTTTCGCGATTCGATTGTGCTTTTGTTGCCAAACATAATTCTTGAATGTCTCCTGTTGAAGTATTCCTTCTTGACCGCTCCAGATCCAATTCGACGTTATGGCGCAATGCTGAAGATTCGTCATGATTTGACGCCATAGTGACCATGTTATGGTGAAATATTAAGGAATGGTGGAGAGGTCCAGTGGTATTGCGAAATGGATTGGTGTTAAGACCAGGGCGAGTAAGATAATGCAATGAATGTCTCGAACGCGCAATATGTTGAAGTAAGGTTCGATAATCATGAATAGTTTCTTTTTCAGTCAAACCATCAAACCATCAAACCATCAATTATACTTTTTTCTTTTCCTCTGTTTGGTTTTGCTGAGTTGTCTCTTGTCTTGACTTCTGTTGCTTGCGCAATCAGCCGTCAGATTAAAATAGAGGGTCGCTGAGTAGCGAGCCGGGTTGGTGGGCGAAGTTGAGGTCAATTTTTGATTTATTGCGTGCTTTGGTGTTGTTTTGACCAGGGGACCAAGATTGTTAGGGTGAGATTACCTAGGTAGGTAAGGTAGGTACCTAGTAATAATAAGTAGGTCACTCACTACCTAGGTAGGTGTGATATTTGGATACTTGGATCAGAAAAATCCGGGGGGGGAAAGAACACTGCGGTGTACATGTACAGATGAGAGGGATGAAGACTTGTGGATGAAGGTGGTGACTGGTGGTAGTATCTGCCGGTACTTCTCTTGACACAATTTTGGTTTCTGGGGTAATAATCCTATCCTAATAAGACTAAATAAATTGTGATGGAATTTATATTATCACAAAGCAATTAAAACAGCATTGTGTTGTATAGAGCTATTGTTATTATAAGTATTGTATTATTTTCTATCTTCTCTCATTTCAATACTCTGACTTCACTTATCTTTCCTTCCTTCACTTCCAAGAGGCGACAAAGAAATCTAAAAATGGCGTGCGATTGACTCAATGCCTCAGGTTTCCATATCACGCGATAGAAATTACAAATTGATCATTTTTTCATAGAGAAGTCGAAGGATTATGTAAATTTTACTCAAAATTTGAAAAGAATTTGCTAGCGAAAGAACGGTAATTAATTCAAATTCATTTCATTCCAGAGCATTTATAATTACATCTTGATTTTTAATCACATTCGCCTTTAGACTTCTCTTCGAGATGTTGTAATAATCTATTGGAATTCTTAACTCCTATTCCTTCGAATTCTTTCGCCTCTATCTCTCGCTCTCGGTCAATGTCATCTTATGTAATCCTTCAACACGGCCAAAGAGACCCTGGATCCAATGCTGCTTTTATCTCACACCCTTCCTCCTTCCTTAATTGTTTTGGCCGTCCGTCGTTCAAAGATCATTCATTCTCCACTCTCCGCATCTCCTTTTGGATGATCATGATCACACAATTAATAAAGTGACCGTAACTATTGGATGGTAACAATGATGGCCATTTCTCCCTCGAGAGCTGCGAGCTGAGAGCTGAACCTTGAGAAATTCCCCGAGACCTCCAAGAAACACCCAAGAAAGATCATCTTATCGCATTCCTCCTTCGTGATATTGGAATAACCTCACCAATTGCTAAATGCTTCGACCTGCAGGCAATATTCGTCATAACATCCTCTAATCTGTATATCATGCACCACGTGGCTCAGATCTAACCGAATCCCATATTAGTTTCAAGTGAAGCCCAGGAATTGGGTAGCTGAGGCTGCTGAGCTAAGATCCTGCAGACAGATACGAAGTCATACGAGGGAACTTTATCATTTCACGAGTCAATGTCAATATCAGATGTACCGTGGACAGTCGAGACAGTATACAATAAGCTAATCAGATTGAAACAGCTGCTTGCAGTCTGAAGTTACAATCAATACCACTTCACAAACACCATCGGTATTTATCCATCCATAACCCATTCTAGTTACATAATTCATCCATGATGCCTCTGTTTCACTGTCTTTCATTGGACATTTTACGCAAATCTAACAATCAACAAGTAGATGTGTTGGTTGCGTCTGATCAAGTTCCAAATACTTGTTACTATCGTATATACCTCATATGAACGTGTGATCTTTTTACCTTCTCTCCCCTTTACAAATCTCGGGTATGCTTTCCGAACGGGTGTGTTGGGAGGGAATATCGGTATGAATCTGGTTCTTGTTACATTTATCTGAGTTGGATTCTACACTTACTTATTTATTCGCACTTAAGATATGGCATTTTTGAAGCGTGCCTAGGTATATAGAATAATAGAAGCATAAAAATGTAAACAGCATAATCATCTAAGTTTTATGGATATGAACATCATCCCATCCATCACACGTCTCAAAACAACATACACCATATTCCAAAGCACCAGCAACAGAGGTCGATGATAAATATCCATTCAGCCCCACCCACCACCCACCCCATATTTCTGGAATCGCAGGTATCGACTCTCAAATCTTAGACGTGCAACAAATTTTTCTTTTTCTTCAGATCACGTGAGTGTCATACCCTAAGATTTTGATTGGTGAGAACATCGATCTTTTGACTATGAGGTCATTGGAAAATAATTGATTGTGAAGATATTGAGTACTCAAAAAGACCTTGTTGTAGATATATTCTAAATGTGAAATTTAATATCGATGAGTAGAAACGAGAGAGTTATATCTAGATTCTTTGGAATATGTTATTACTAATTGCTACTTCCTAACGATCTATCTCAGTACAATACTAAGAGGAAAAAGAGAAATGTGACGATTCAGTCCCTTTCAGGTTCCTTTCTCAGTCGCTTAGCTTCTAGGACCTTAGCCTAGCACGTGACTCATTGGTGTATATAGTCCGGAGCCCTTACAGTTCTCTTCTTATTCTTTCTTCCTTCTTTAGTTTTAGATTCTAAGGTAGAATTGAATCCTTTTATGACAGTCTTTCACAGAAAACAGATTGTCATTAGAGAAATAGAGGGGTAAAAAGGGCTAAAGAGATATAATAGTGAGAATTAAAAATAGTATAAAGGGAGAGTAGATCTCAATCCACACAATATACATTTAGAGAGTCGAGATTATACATACATTCATATATTCTCGACCTGGTACGGTATGGTATGATATCACATGATAAGATATTTTCGGTTAGATGTAAGGAGAGCTGGGAAGTATCTTGTGGGTGGGATGGACTCATACTAGTAGATTATTGATCATGTTTTCAATAGTATCTTTCGATTGAGTGAGAAATGTGAGAGTGGAGAAATCGCGTGGAAATTAATCGACGGGTTTATTAATCTGGTATTTTGATCATAGTTATATGGAATCTATTGATGTATATCGCTGCATCGATTTATCGATTCGGCTTCCTTCCCCTTTCCCGAGGGATTTGGTAGGATTGTTATCCCGCTGTGCGTAGATTCTTGAAATATGAAAAATTGAAGAGATTTGGGCTGTGGCTTGGATATAAGATGCTCCAGCTGCTCGATCAAAACATACTTGATCATATCGAATCTACACGAGCGTGAAAGTCTAGACAGACACTCAGCTCTGCGAGATTGGAAGAAGAATCAATCCGAGACCCAGGAATACTGTAGTGTTAAGTTGAGGATTGCTTGTGATTTGAATGGCAGGATAGGATAAGATGAAAATTGGGTATGTTGTGTTTGATTGAGCTTCTAATGGTGGCAGGAGAGTTAGATATCTGATTGGGGGGAAATGAAATATACTCTTGAATTCGGCTTTGAATTATGATAATAAGAAATACATCATTGCATTGCCAGATTATCTGACTGATTGTTCAGGAGACAAATCAGTAATTCGACTTCAAGCTCTGTTTACATGTCGCTCATCGCATGTATTAAAACTCAGTGAGTCGAAATTATGTGTATATAGTTGGTCTTTACATGTAGAGAATGTGTATCAAAAAATATCACAATTTCTTGTATTTTTAAAGTATACTAATCGACAATTATGCAAGATGCAAGGTAGCTCTACGTAGGAGAAAAAAGAGGCCGGGTTTGATCACTTTTTAATACTTTTAATAAACCAATTTCTTCTCCTCAAATCTGAAATAAAATATCAACTTTGATAAGAATCAATATAAATAAAAGATGAAAAGTAATCTTATATTCTCATATTTATTTGTTTTATTTGTGGTCGATTTACAATTCTATTAATTCAGAGATTTCATTAAAGATTTATGTGGTCAAAATCGGCCTCTTTTTTCTCCTACGTAGAGGGTAGTATTACTGATGCAGCATTGTTGGAAACGTTCTCTCACCTGTCTCGATTGTTATCACATACGACCATAGTTGCACATCAGAACTCGATGAGATGAGAAAAGAGGAGATTCGTGTTCATAAACTAAACTAAAATAAGACGGTCTAAACAATCCAACGCTATTGTTGGCAATCTGAAGACAATGACATATCCATGTCATATCCTATCCGTATCCACTGTCCCCAGGCTTGCCAACAAGAGATTGTTTAATCCCGCCAGGTAAAAGTCGATGCATTAAGCCGAAGTTGACGTTACCCATAGAAGAGTAATCATCACTTCGACGTAATTGCTCGGAAAGAAGTGAAGTTTTCGAAGCAGTAATCACACTGCATGAAGATCACAGCCCTAACAGAGCAGGCTGGTAACATAAATTTTATCCCCTCCTTCACTAATAACCGTAAAAGGGACGGCCATCAAACCAACCCCAGCATCGCATTAACAACCTGCTTAACCTTACTCTTATGCTCCTTCGTTTGCACATCCACCAACTTCCAACATCTCAAAACCCATCTCTCATACCGACTTCGCCTTGTTTTCACCCAATCCACGAGATCTCTTGTATGCCATTGCTTCCGGTTGCTCCTCAACCCACTCTCTCAGCATCCAGGTTTTATAGCCCGACCAGACCCGATAATGTCGACTATATTCCTCCCTATCACGAAGCCAATGGTATTCTCTTTCCAAATGGCAGTCAGACTTCCATTTGAAGATAGTATGTTTGAGAACATGCGCGGTGGCAGGATACCATTCCTCGCCCATTCTGAATGGATTCGGAGTAAACCAGTTGAGACCTGGTGGGTTTGATGAGCGAAGAGTATTATGGTAGACGTGATAGAAGTCTTTGAAACGGTTACTTTTAAATTCTGCCATTCTTTCTAAGAGCCTTCTATCTTTCTCGCCTCCTACAGCAGGATATGCAGCAACACTGACAAAACACCTCAATGCACTTTGACGTTCTGAACTACCATTTTGCCGTCTTCTAGTGTGCAGGGCAATGGACGGTATTTTGGAAACATCAGTTGATCAGGAGATCTCCGAGTCTGTAGGGGACGCTGGCTTTATTAGGGTTCGATGTTCCGGGGGATGAGTCATGATAGGGACCTTGGCACTGTGGATTGAGCGGAAGATTGCCCAGTGGGTGCGGCAGGTTAGGGCGAAGCAGACGGCGGTGCAGAAGTCGCTTTCGAAAGTTTGATGTTCGGAGATGAGACAGCGGAGCATGAGACGGATGATTTCGGTGGGAAATCAAATTTTGCGGCTAGGAATAGGAAGGGTGTTAGCTGAAACTCTTGCATTGAGAATGAATAGTAGGAGAGGCTGAGGTAAGAAGGCTGGGATAATGATGAGTGTTCGAATATGGATGCAGTGGTTCTTCAGATGATTGAACGTATGATAATGAGGAGAGAACATAGAGAACGAATGAAAAAAATGACCTGATGTATCCTCTAACAAGAATGACCACTGCAAGTCAGGAAATCATGATACAGCTGATACTTTAGTGTTTTGAACCGTAGATAAATGGCACCAAGGATTGTCAAGATATGACAATACAGGCAGCTGAAGTGGTTGGGAGTTAAAAAGGAAATGCAAAATCAAAACACAGTAACAGCTATGAAATGGCAGAGGTCCAACTCTTCTCTTAGCAGTATTGTATCTTCTCTTACGAGCAGGTTGAGGGCCGATTCCGTCTTCCTCCCAATTTCGTTTCTTCTGCTGGTCTCTTCTCAGATGTCCATGCATCTGCGAGATATTAGTAAATATTCAGTTAATGTAACCCTCCTGTAGGCAAAAGAAGGTAGGAGTAGAAGAAAGAAGAGAAGAGCTGCAGTGACGTACATTTAATTTGGCTTGGGTCAGGTTCGAGAACTCCTTCAACGTTGTCAAGGCCCCGTGCTACTGAAATTTCACGAAGGCCCATCAAATGCTGGCACAGCCTTTCAGCTCCATCGTTCTGACTGGTGCTTGCAGTAAGTGGACCTCGAACTGGAAAGGGCGATTGCATGTCAGGTGTAGAGCTATTATCTCTTCCAGGAGCGGGGCCAAAAGATTGGCCATAAAATCCTGCAGGAGCATAGCGAAGAGGTCGGCCATTGTTAGCTGTTGAGACGTTGACTATGTTCGGTCCCGAAGTTTCCAAGATAAAGTTGGCTGTAAAGTCGTCTACATTCCATTCGTTTGACTCCAAAAGTTGGGACTCGTTTGGCTTCGGAAGCAGGAGACGCTTAGGAGGCATCTTGAACGTTGAACTTGTATTTGTGCTGCAGATATCTGCTTCTTGCGTATATCGAAGGTAGATGTAATGGAGGTTAAAGGAAAGGATCGACAGTCCTTTGTGATGTTGTTGAGGGTTGACCTTTTTGGCGGCGGGGAACCTTGGAATGCCTCAAATAATTCAAGGGCCGAGTTGTTCCAAAATCAAGATTACCTAAAGATGCTAGCATGGTTACATCTGTGAATGGTTAGTGGGGGTTTTACAGAAAATTCGCTTAATATGCTCTCATTGGTTTATCTAAATCTCTACATTTAGGCCTAAACGTGATCTAATTAACAGAAATAGATACTAAATTGATTGCTGATTGGCCTCTTTCATATTATAGAGCAGATTAGTTGATTTGTTGTAGTTTTTTAAGGGCTCGTTCAGATCGATTTCTTATTTAATTGATGAAATCTCAAATAATGATAAAATGGCAAGGATAATTGGATTATTGAAACTAATATATATTAGGTATATTTGATTGAGGCTAATATGTTTGGAGTAATATTGGGACGTGTGAGGTTGAGTTGAAAATGAAGAAAATAACGCTTTTTCTCAAATATATTTGTCCAACTACACCTCAAAAGCTGCTATTAGCCTACTGTATGAGAAAGGTTGAGAAAATTTGTTGCATTTGTCACTTTAAGATTATTAGACTCAATATTTTATTAGCTCAAATATTACGTTCGTTTCGAAATATTTCAGCCACACATTAGATCTAATATAGTCTAATATATATTAGGCTCAATATTGCGTTCGGTAAACACGATATTGGGCTAATATTTCTAATATATTAGTCTAATATCAAAAAAAAATCGATCCGAACGGGCCCTAAGCCGGCCATGCTGCTAAGTTAGGTCATGTCATGGTTACTCTATAAAATCAGGAAAACACTTTGTGATTTCACTAATTTGATAGCCAGAGAGAGATTACATGTAAGTCTCACAAGTCAGAAAGTCTAGTTCGGTATATGAAAGTATCACTTGTATTTGATAAGATAATTTATGACACGATGAGTGTGTAAGATGTAATGCAAATGCCTCGGATAGTAGAAGTCGACGGATGAAATGTTGAACGTGGTTGGTAATCTTGTATTCCATGCCGATTGCCAACAACCGAACTATCAACCTTCTGCAGTCTCTTACCCTAATACTGTGAAAAGATGCGTAGCAGAATCGGATATTGTCTCGTAGCCCCAATTCAACCTAACTATAGCATCCCATATATCACCTAGTCCAAAGGGGCTTGGGGGATTGCGCATCATTGCTTGAGCCATTATGAAATCATAGATTCTACCCTCAAGAATTTCTTCTTCAATACTTTCTTCATCCGATTCCCCATATACAGCACAGGAGAGATAGCAAGGGATGAGCAAAGAAGTTGGAGGACGGTATTTGGGGCCCATCCACTCCTTAAATAACATGATTTGCTTGCGTTGAGAAGGGCTAAGAGAACGCTTGACAATAGACGATTGTTTAAAGAAACGGGGGAAGAGATGGTTATGGATTTCGTGTTTGAGAGTAAGTTCATTCTCATTAATTTCTTCAACGACAGAGTTTGACCCAGCTTTCTCATGGTACGGATTGAACAATGGAATCTTGTCTTATTTGAAATCGATAATACTTGGAATATGGTCCATATGTTCTTTGAGGTAGCTTGTATGGTCCAGGTTACGAAGTATTGTCCAATTTCTGTGGGAAGTCAGGCCGAAACAAAGAGCTGAGCAGATATCAGGAAAGTCTTCTTGGAGGAGATTGTTCAATATCTTGTTGATGATTTCGGTAGGTGCGCTTTCAACAATGGATGGTTCTGCTGTCGCGCATTTTTGTATCTGGGCTTTCGCTGTAACTGTTGAACCATTACTCGGTACTATATTGAGTAAATCGCATTAGCATTATTTAGGGAACCTATATTTGATCTTACCTTCTTCGTCGGCAGTTGCTTCTCCCGGAACAAGATTGCTTTCCAATTGATCAATTGATAGTCTTGACGTGTCTTTCTGGCGGAGGTCTTGATAAGTCAAGGTATAGAAATGGATAATTTCAGCTTTGTATTCTGAAACAAAATGAAATAGGTTAGTTTTATAGACAATGGAAAGAGGCAAAAGTTGCAACTCCAAGGAATTCAAGGACTTTACCTGTAGGCCCCCGTCTCAAGGACGAGGCACTGCTATGAAGGACAATACTGTTCATCATTCTTGATTGTGTGGTTTGAATACTTGGTATCGGGCTAGAAATTAATGTTGATGAGCATTGATGTATCTACCCTCAACAAAAGAATTGGTGGCTTTAGTCCTGATCACATTGCTGTATAAGCAAATCCAAGAATGTTTTCGGGTGGCCTCGGCTCAAAGAGCTACCCCCTTATTGCCCCGAGATGATTCCAGGATGCTCACAGATGTATTCAGTTTCTCGAAGTGAATGTTGAATTGAAGATGAACTAAAGATGAAATTGATTTTTTGAATGAAAGGGCTTTCACTGCCAATAGGATAAAACCCTTTCATTCAGTTCTACCCTAAAAGTGCTAGAAAGTAGGCAGAATAATGATTACCTCCGCTTACTGCTTCATCTCTCTACCTAGGTAGCTCTGCATCAGCAAACAACATTCGACATCACTTTTTTCTACCATAGTCATACTACATAGCAGATCAACAAGATGACCTCTTCAATTGAACACGGGGTCCAGCAAGGCAGTACTCTAGAAAATCATTGGGAATATGATATCGTAACAAAAGCGCATCCCAAGGTTCAGTCTTGCGTTGAAAAATGGCTTCGCCAAATCGAGGACCGGCAACTACAAAAGATCGAAAGTAAGCTACAGACCTCTTTGATTAAGGCGATCAGATCAATCACAGTACTGCAGCCTCACACTAGACTTGTCACTAACTCGTGTATCTGCAGATCCTCGGATCCCCGTCGAAATCATCTTCCAAATTATCGAATTACTTCTTATCGATCACGACGAATGTACGGCAGTCTGTCTCGCTATTACAGGTCGTGCTTATTATAGATTCTTCTGCTCAGTTCACCCAGAACGAGTACTGCTCATTTCAAGACCACCATACCCTTTTAGCCAGAAGGAGTTTCCGCCTACCATCGCAAAACTTTTACACGATTCGTTGGTTCCAGAGTACCGACTCTCGAAGCGACTCCAAAAATTCCTTCTTTGCTCTGTCTATGGAGATGAAGCCGGCTCTCACAAAGAGTGGGATCTGATCCAGCGAACAAGCGACTATCACAGCATTATATCAAGACAAGGACGCACAATCGGAGAACTTATCTTGCCAAATCCATTTGGAATGGGAACCGATTGGTATCTTGCAGCAGTTCGCCAATTTGTCAAACACGTTGAAGATGCTGTTCCAGATTTATCCACAGTCGGTAGCAATCTTATGCAATATGTACCAGTCGTAATGCCCGGAATCTCTGTGATTGGACTAACAATGAGTACATTCACGTCGACGGGACTTCCAGTTCGGTTAGTCAATATGGCTTCAGCGTTGGATACTAGACCTTGGCTACATGGAATACCATACCCCAGAGTAACTTCGACTGGACACATATGCCTGGGCAAACAATGCTCGGTCAAACACCCGACCAAGATCAAATTCGAGAGAACTTGAGAATGACCAATCTTGCGGTCAAAGACCAGTATTCAAGAGTTACAAATATGCATAAAACTCACCTTTGGTATTTTATGGGAAAGCACGTTAGCACACGGATTCTAGATCATGATTCAAGTGGTAATGTGCTCAAAACAACTAGGCGTATGTGTTTTTGGGAGGCGATACTTCAAGCTTCAAAGCAAGATTGGGAACAGTACTTTCTTCTTTTTGCTGACGGAGTTGAGGTTCAAAGAAAAAATGAATAGGCTGGATTGTGGATCAGAGGTTTGCAAACTTAGATTAGACGGTTTTTGATATATGGGAGGAAGCTTTTTTCGATCTTTCGGGTGGTTTTATACCATTCTCCGGGCTTTGTAATCAAAGTTTAGTTATACTGGAGAGATTGACTTGTTCTAGAGAAATGAATGGACTTTTCAGACTATGTTGCAGAGGTCAGCGCGGTCAGGTATACTTAAAACATCTAGTTCTGGTTAAGAGAATTCAAGATAGGCATTAGCAATGAATCGCAGTTTTGGCAGAAATACAAGTAAATATGAAAACCTAACTCATCAGTGACTTATACAGCGTGTCATGCGGACATTTTTGTCCAAAACTGTTTTAGATGATAATGATTAGATTATTTATATTATCTGATTAATATTTTATCTAATAAAAATACTGTTATTATCTAATTATTATTCTATTATTCTATTATTCTATTATTCTATTATTCTATTATTCTATTATTCTATTATTCTATTATTCTATTATTCTATTATTCTATTATTCTATTATTCTATTATTCTATTATTCTATTATTCTATTATTCTATTATTCTATTATTCTATTATTCTATTACTCTATTATTCTATTATTCTATTATTCTATTACTAAGAATACTAAAAATACTAAAAATACTAAGAATACTAAGAATACTGTTGGTTCGAGAAGGATACGGAAGACGTAGCACCCACGTATTCGTAGGTCCTAAATGTCTAATTGTATTCTATCTAAAGAGCTAGCTGAGTGAGAGAATAGTAGGCCTTATATAGGCACTACTGAAAGAGCTAGTCTCTTTCGCATTCGCCTAATACCTTTGATACAGTAGCCATTGTATTGAAGTCATTCCTTTGAAGTGAATACCCTTGTTCACACAAATACTAAGAATACTAAAAATACTAAGAATAAAAGAATGAAAAGAATGAAAAGAATGAAAAGAATGAAAAGAATGAAAAGAATGAAAAGAATTAGTAGTAAATAAGAAATTTAATGAATATTTTAATTTTAATAAAAGTAATTATTTTAAAAAGATTTTTTATGATTTTTAAATTTGAATATATTCTAAAAAAATTTCTTTTAATAAAATAAAGTATTTATTATTAAATCAAATCAATTTAAATTTTATATAAATTGACTAATAGTATAGTATTTTTAATAGATAATAGTAGAATATTATATAATCATTCTAAATATTAGATGATACTTTTTAAGATCGAATTATAGTAAATCAGATGAATAAATCGTTTTGAACAAAATGTCCGTATGACCGCCATAGTGACTATACTCGCTTGAATTTTCAGACCTTTCAAACCAGAAACACAAACTGGTTCCTCAGATCCACTTGACTGATCTCTATTGATGCATTCTAGATTCGAAAGAATTTGCCATTGTGAGATACGAAGAGCGAAGCAGGTCTAGATACTGGTGTGCCTACTACTGTGAGTTTCAAGATACCACTAACTTAAAGATATTATAACTCCCGAGCTACGGCGATAATTTCCATTCAATCTAATAGTATACTCATCAAGCGGCCGAATACTGCGCGGTTATTGTATATGCAAGTCCTCAGGCAAAAAACTTGCGGTAGCAATATGGCTGTACAAATTTCGGTAAGTGAATCGTCTCACTACTGCCCAAAAACCCAACGCGGTAAAAAGTATTAGATACGTCATGGGTATTGAACATTCGATACGGTATTGACCTCAATCGAACTCTACTTAAAGATCCCAACCCCCCACACAACGTTCTTCAAAATCCACATCAATTTCTGGTCCTCTTCAACAAGAGGAAAGTTTACACTACACAACAGACGTTGATTGCTTTTTGATAATTGCAGATACTCTTCGAAACACGAAAGAAACCAAGATTGAAAAATACTCAAAACGCACAATGGTTTGGAAAATCTGCCCCAAGCCCAAAAAGCAGAACCAAGAGACTATGTCTAAATCACCGGGAACTGAATTGGTTGCAGTTACCAGTAAGTAAAGTTCACTCCCTGTGACAACTAATATTTGACATTATCATTTCAAAAACAACACCCAATTGCATCAAAAAGCTAACATGTTTACCTGCTAGATAATGCTGTCCCAACCAAAAAGAGCGAATTCGAAGGGTTCCCACTCGATATTATAAACATTACTCTTCGATATCCTACTCGAGCGAGATGAAATGACTTCCATCACTGTCTTGCCCTTACATGTCGAAACTGCTGGAATCTCTACCAGGGCAAAACCATGGAAGAGATTTACTAACTTCGGTACTGACTTCTATGAAATATGTTTTATCGAGTTGATTGAAACCTGGATTGACCCAGGTTACCGTCGTATTGCCATAATAGGGGTTATTGAAACACCTTTTCTATCGCGTGCTGTGTATGGGGACTTTCCAGGAGTGGAGGAAAAAACTTTGGCTTGTCAATGGCAAGACTACAAGAGGTTGAACACTCATGATGAAGAGACGTATGCATTGATTTATCATGTTTCCAAAACCTTTCGGTGTGAGCGTGGATAACTGGCTTGGTCTCGCTGCACGGCAATTAAAGAATGAAGTTTTGAGCTGGGAGTCTTGGACTCGCGAGAGGGCGAAACTAGCTGCGTCTTATCGTCCGTTCAAACTTGTACCGTTGGTTACTTTCCAACGGTGGTCAGAAGTGGCTTCTTTCTCACAGAAAGTATCAGAAGACTGAGATTTGCAACAATAATTCGATGGCGGTATTGATTTATTTTCCGGATGAAGGCCAATCTTGGCCCATGGAGCCCGAGAAATCTAAGCCAACTGGGAAGGGAACAAATGCGCGGAAGCTCAGGAAAACTGGCAGATGATAACCTACATTTTCTGATTGAAGAGTCACAGAGCATCTGGGGGCTAGTACTTCAATAAAATGTGGGAAGAGATTAGGGGGTTTTCAACCGATTCCGTTATTACTCGTGGAAAAATATTTTCAGTGTGAATTAAGTTCTTGAAATTCACATCCTTAACTTCCGCACGAAGTAGGTGTCTACCGGATCTGTGCCAATCTGGTAAAACCTTGAGCAACGTAGCATGATATCCGATTTTATCACCTCAATACATCAGGGATGGACGAATTTGAGAGACTGTATCTTGACTTCGGTAGAAAAAAGTCTTACATAGTAATAAGATGCAGAATCTGTATATTTCAATGATGACTTGCCTCTTATGCAGATATTCAAGTGAAACCAATCTTCAAAAGTATACATGAAATCTGTCAACTCATCAGTTCTTTCCAGCACTGCTGAATGACATGTGACTCTCGTTTCATCTTCAGGGGTGTTTAGCGCGCGATAGAACAAGGGCCTGACGACCCCGCATTGAATTTCCGACTAGGAGACCTCGCATCTTCCAGTCGTCCATCAACCATCTCTGAAGTTTAGGATAGTTCGATGACGACTGTTTCCTCAAATTATGCTTGGACGTTGGTTTTGTACTAGTGTTCCTTTCTGATGGACCTTCCTCAATCTTCACGCTGGAAAGTGGTAGTCTTTTTCCCGTGATTTAGGTTAACTTTCCACTAGAAAGCTCGCGCCTCACTCATAATCTTCTCAGCCCATTGTTTTACGTCATAATATCTGTCTGAAGGTTTAAAGGCAGTAAGACACATAGATGTCTGTGTGAAAAAGCAAAGGGAGCGACAGCAGCGAGACAGTCTCGCTGGAGAGATGTCGCCGATCGACTGTTTTATGGTCCCATAGTATGCAGAATCAATTCAAGCAAAGACATGAAAATTAAGACGAATTTCTCTCGACTTGTTCAAATACAAACAATTGAAGCAGACTGGCAGAATTCGAAAATGAAAAGGTAAGCAAAATGGACAGCGTTGAATGCTCTGATCAAGGCAGTTTGTCTGTGCTACCATTAAGTTCTGATTTCGTGTAAATGCAATCCTCTCAGGAAAGTTCACCAGATGGCGTTTACTTTAACACATCGAAAGAGAGCGGTCAAATTGATTACATCTATCGATCTTTCCTAAATAAACTCACTATCGATAACACTACTGTACTCCGGGCCCAGGAGTGTGATCTTCCAAGCAGGAAAGTACGATTCCGATGTAATTCTGGAAACGTATTTTTGTGATCTTTTCCGCACCGCAACATCACAAGAAAAAACTCAGCTTCTATCTCATCCCTCTCCCAAATTTAAATACAATCAGTCATCTCCAAAGATACGAAAGACATCCACCAATTTTCTCCTTCGTATCACAAACTAGGATCTTCCCTCAATTCATCTTTCTATCTATCAATCTCCAATCTCAAATCCGTACCACATACCCGGTAAAATCGCGGAATTTCCAGCCCCCATCTTTCCACAAGGATAACCTTCAGAGTCTCTGATTACTTCATAGAGTCGGTGCAATCAATATCTATGTGGGGCCCAGCGAAAGATACAAAATCGTTTAGGTAACCGCATCTGTCCTGTTTCCTGACGATCTCTCTGAATTCCCACGAGGAGCAGTGGGTACGAAAAAAGAATTTTCGGTGACATCCATTGAGCTAGATATGATATTGAAGGAGTAGGGTGGGTAGGTCATTTAACTTCATATATATATCTCGTGACGAGTATTCTCGAGATATTCCTTCACCCTTTCGTTTTGTTCGATCTTGAGAATTCCCTTTCTGTTACGCGGAAGACAAGACAAGATAAGACAAGATGATAAGTTCACGGATCGTCTCTGGGCTTTTGGGCCTGGGAAGTTTGGTGTGTGGTTTCTAGTGCTCTGGGATATGGAACTAGTTATGCTACCAATAATGCGACCAAATATGTCATTATGGACAATGATTGGAGTTCGACTGGCTTCATTCCATTCCTCATCGCTCTCGAAGCCGGATGGGAAGTATTAGGTTTAACATCTTGTGCGTATCTCCTTATCCTCTCATGATTATAGCTACTTTTCAGCTGACAATTCCCTCCCCTTTCAGGCACCGCAGATACATGGCAACACCAAGTCGCACTGCATGCACTAGCTACCCTCTCTGTCGGTAACCTGACTAGCTGTATCCCCGTAGTTCCGGGCTCTACATTCCCGCTTATCAATACCGCCACGAGGTTCCAAGCATGGGAAGCGGTTCATGGTAAACTTCCTTGGGAGGGTGTATTTGCTCCGTATAATGCTACAGCAGAAGCAGAAGGAAGTGATCCCACATCGGGAGATAACCCTTTCAGAGTCGTAGAGGGGGCTTTTGTAGAAGGAATGCCAAGTAACTATTCAATTAATGGATTGAAGAAAAGTCAGAGTGCTAGTGCATTTATGATTGAAATGGTACATAGATATCCCGGACAAGTTTCCATATGTAAGTGAACAAATCTTGCTTATTTTCTAGTAATTCAACTTTGACTCGAAAACTAACTCCCCAACCAGATGCCGGCGGCTCCATGACCAACGTCGCTCTCGCCGTCCGCTCCGACGACAACTTCGCCTCCCTCGCCAAAGAACTCGTCATCATGGGCGGCTACATCGACGACAACCTCCTCCAAGTAACCAGCAGCGTGCTACAAGCCGACCTCAGCTCCGACATCAACTTGATGGTCGATCCCGAAGCCGCCAAAATTGCTTTCACGGCCAACTTTCCCAAAATCACTTTCGCAGGTAATGTCGCGAATCAGGTGATGAGCACACAGGATTTCTTGGACGAGATTAAGGAAGTTAGTAATCCCTACTCGGAATTGGTGTGGGGACATTATGGAATGGAATTCCCATTTTGGGATGAGACTGCTGCGGCAATTATGGTTGATGGATCGATTGTGGAGAATTCTACAAGTTGTGAGTTATTTTTCTCTTTGCACCCTTGCTTCATCCCTCTCCCATCAAACGACATGGAGGAAAGCTCCTCCAGCTCTTGTAGACAATAGAAGAAAGTTCTTCCCTCAGCTCTCCTCCACTTCCCCCGTCCACCCATGAGACTGCTGCGGCGATTATGGTAAATGGATCAACTGTGGAGAGTTCTACAAGCTGCGAGTTAATTTTCATCCTTCCTCCTTACGATCCTCTCCTCCCAGTTTTTCAATTCCCTCCCCACTATTGCATGCGATAGACGAAGAAAAGTTTCCCCCTCAACCCCAAGAGAGTTGCATCCATCATGGTATGCGATGCAATGGATACACAGATTCTCGATATCCTACAAATTATGTATCTAAACCTCTATCTCTAACCCCTCACTAACCCCCTTCTAGTCTACGTCGACGTCGACACATCCTACGGCTCCCCCTCCTACGGCAACATCCACGCCTACCAAGAAGCGCTGATGCCGCCCGGCCTGCGCAAGGTCGACTATATCAATCGCGTCAATGGTGATACCTTGAAGAGCATGATTAAGAGAGCCGTTCAGTACCCCAGAAATTGTTCTTCCATGGGGAGATAGATAGATAGATAGATAAGAGATGATGGAGGCGATGAATTTGAAAATTAATTTGATTATTGTTATTGTTGTTGTGATAAATACCTAGGTAGAAAGTGATTTGTGCGAGGCTTGATATATTAGTGAAAGGCATGCTACTGAACAGGTTGAGAATATCATTCAAGTGATATCAAATATAAGTCATTCATCAATCAAATTCACGATAGGTATCAACTTCATCACATATAAAAAAACCCAACATTGATGAATAATTATATCTTCTCATACTTCTAACTACGCGACGCAATGCATTGCTTAAAGACTATAAACCGACCATTCATTTATCAAAATACCAAAGACATGGCTTAAACGAAAGAAATTGTAATAGAGTACAGAGTAAAAGTTGTATCATCCTCTAATCCTCTTTCCATCCCAGATCCCCCATCTCAAATGATCATATAATCATGTCGAAACTCTCGTTTCAAAATGGCATTCATAACCCCAACCCTAAGGTCTTCCCAAAAACTTCAATGCCTCTTCTCTTTCCTCAACTGGCAACATAGACAAGACTTGTCTGATACCAGCCATAGCACCACCACTCAATCCTCCCTTAGCACTAGGTCCACTAGCTCTAAGCAAAGCCGAAACCTCGGCAGCTACACCCTCAACCTTCATTTGTTCAACCTTCTCATGAACAACCTTTCTATTCTCCTCATACCACATGGCTACACTCTTATCATCTGTTTGGAATGCTGGAATTGCAGTCCAGGCGGCAAGTTTTCTCAAGTTCTCTGGCCTGGTACCAGTTGGTGATTTTG